CATGCAATATCACAGTCCTCCAACTTTTCTACCAAAACAAATTGTGAATCATTGAAAATACACTACAGTATTTTCTCCTTTTGGCAGAGCAGTATGGTTTAGCATGCACTAAGTTAATCAACTCTAAGTTTCCCTTGGCCGTGAATGAATCCGTAACTTTGAGGACACGCGTGCAAAAATCCCCTTTAAAATCAATTAGATTCAATGGTGACATTTCTTGACAGACTGCCAAGGCACACANTGACTAATCCTCCCATTTGGTCATTACAAAAATGGTCCTTAAAGCCCAGCACTCTTCCTGGGGACTGTTAAATCATGGATGTGCAAAAGTCAAACACCATGAATGCTGATCTGATTCCATATTTCAATTTCTGCTTATAGATCCACCTAAATCCTTCAAACACTCGGTTCACTATATGTGAGGCTGGAGGATGTCTTCNATTAAAGTAGGTCATGCAATATCACAGTCCTCCAACTTTTCTACCAAAACAAATTGTGAATCATTGAAAATACACTACAGTATTTTCTCCTTTTGGCAGAGCAGTATGGTTTAGCATGCAGTAAGTTAATCAACTCTAAGTTTCCCTTGGCCGTGAATGAATCCGTAACTTTGAGGACACGTGGCCAGTCAAAACATAATTCACACACGCAGTTATGCAAAAATCCCCTTTAAAATCAATTAGATTCAATGGTGACATTTCTTGACAGCCCTCTTATTTCCACTTGTGGTTGCTAATCCACAACACACCACCATCCCTTTTATCTGTTCCTCAAACATCGTCTTTAGTGTTGAGGTTGTAGATTGCAACCTAGTGACTAATCCTCCCATTTGGTCATTACAAAAATGGTCCTTAAAGCCCAGCACTCTTCCTGGGGACTTTTAAAATCATGCTGTGCAAAAGTCCAACACCATGAATGCAGATCTGATCCCATATTTAAATTTCTGCTTATAGATCCACCTAAATCCTTCAAACACTCGGTTCACTATATGTGAGGCTGGAGGATGTCTTCATGTTAAACAAATAAGACTAAACATTTAAAGTGCGTATTTATGGTGCTGTATTATTAAGAGTGGTAGCTAACAAGAACTTCAGCAACACACACACTGACTGTATAGTGATGTATCCGCACACCCCAGGTTACTGGAAAGTACATTTTCAACTTTTCCAAAAGTTGGAAAGATTTACAACAGGGGGTCACTGTCCACTCACCCGCTACCCAAATAATCCAAACAGCTGCATCCGCTGTTTATATCCAAACCCTGTTGTTACATAGTACATCGAGTAACAGCAAAACAGAAGGGGCTCAAAATGTGCCGCCTTTATGTCATAGACCATCGCTTTAATTAATCCAGGAAGATCCTCATGACCCGGATTAGCGCTTCTCTGTTGGGATGCTATACTTCCAAACAACTTTAGAGGACCTGAATCAAGCTCAGAATTTAAAGGTCACCTATTATGCAAAATCCACTTTTATACATAATTATGTGTCGCCAGTGTGTTAAGAGACTCGAAAAGTTTCAGGAAAAAGATTCTCTCTCTTTTTGTTCTGATGAAAATTAGCTGATCAGATTTGGCAACATAGTGATGGCACAACAGTCTTTGTTGGGAAACCATTAGCCACTTACCAACTAAGTTAACACCTGTCCACCTTATGACCTGAATGTCCTCCTAGAGCACCATTGTGTTTTTTTAAACCAACACATCCACATACTCAGCACTTTTGAAACAGGGCTGAAACAGAGGGGTTAATGGGATGCTACAATGTAAGATCTGTTTGGTATTTCGAGCCAAACAGTTCAGAGACATGTTTTGTATATATCTGAGACCTATAATATATTGTTGTAAAAGAGTTCGATAGGGGGCCTTTAATGTAATCTCTACAGGGCCAAGGGAAGATTTACCCCAAAATAAAAATAAAAACATTTATCTCTTACCTGTAGTGATTTTTTATCAATCTAGATTGGTTTGGTGTGAGTTGCAGTGATTTTGCTATGAATTGTCATTTGCAGTTTCACCCCCGAGCTAATGTCGTGTCGTCCTGACCTCACATACTTTTCTCAGGAATCCAAACAGAGGCTGGTTAGGCGCAGCTTCCCCTTTAGTCAACGGTCCAACTCTCTCTGCACAGGCCGACCTGCTGCTGCTGGAATGTGTTGCTCCTGCCAAGTGTAAAGAAATTATAGTTTACCGAACACCGATGTCAAAGAGATCATTTATGTTCAGTGGGTATTTTTGCATGCATGCAAAAGTATGGAATAAAACAAACAGTATGGAAGGTAAGCAGGCTGTTAATCGCAATGTAATGTTGCCAATGTAACCAAATAAAAAACCCATGTCATATTCATCTAAGCAATTCCTGCGTAGCGCCAAAAGTAGTACAGTTTAGAGATGGCACTCACACACAGTGTTACTCCAGCTTTGTTTGAGTGTGTCCTCACTAACTCTGCCTTGGCATGTCAACTATGCCTACAATTGGTGCTTGAGATAAAGATATAAAAGCTATGACCACTGACTCTGCCTCTGGGAGAATTAGGTTAACTCAAAGTGTGTTGATCTTATTTTCTTATGTAACACAGAATCAGCCATGCGGGTCATTCCAACAACACCATCTCTTTTGTACTGCAGAGCTAAATGCTTTTTCCCTGTTTCCAAATGATTTGCTGGTTATTGGTTCAACATTAAAGAGCAACTATGCACATCTGATTGTCACTGTGTTGAAGATAATTTGTACTTAATCAGTTAGACATTGTGAACACATGAATGAACGACCTTTACTGAATTACTAGTCTTGTGCCTTTGCCTTTTCCAGAACAGGTTGTAAGATACGATCTTCAATAATTTCACAGTCTTGTTCGTTTCACTTCTTCGAAAAATGTGTCAGCTGACAGTCCCTGTGGTTGTGAGACTTTCGATTGCTTTCTTTTAAACAGCACAATAGTTACTTTTTTTTTTAAATCATAGTTTACTTATTCTTTCAAGAATACCTGCATCAAAAGGGTTTAGAAATTCTGTCAACGGTGTAGACCAAGAGTGTACTGACATTTTGTAGACGTCCGGTTAGTTTAAACTTTGCCCTCAGGCGCTCCCAGACCAAACAATGTTTTCATGATGATGTATCATTTACATTTACCCAGCCATCTTAGTCACTCAGTAACAACCATATCAACATCAAGATAAACCAGGACAGTCTTATCAAAGCTGTTACCATACCTTAAAAAATAAGATAATGAATATTGAATATACTGTAGACAGGCGGAGAAAAACCTCATATCAGAGGAGGAGCTGACACACTTCTGGTGGTAAACTGACTTTACAGCCAAATAAAATTCACATTGTTTATCTGTCTGTTGACCTGTTAACTACAGGTGCAATAATTACATGTGGTATACATTCATAAAACACCTGGGTGCTGGCTGTTGTGGACAATTATTTTGGTTGCTGAAAGTTAGATGAGAAGATGCCGCACATTTAGGTCGTGTTTGTAGGATTAAGCGTCTTTAGTGTTGAGGTTGTAGATTGCAACCTACTGACTAATCCTCCCATTTGGTCATTACAAAAATGGTCCTTAAAGCCCAGCACTCTTCCTGGGGACTGTTAAATCATGGATGTGCAAAAGTCAAACACCATGAATGCTGATCTGATCCCATATTTCAATTTCTGCTTATAGATCCACCTAAACCCTTCAAACACTCGGTTCATTGCATGTGAGGCTGGAGAATGTCTTCATGTTAAACAAATAAGACTAAACATTTAAAGTGAGTATTCATGGTGCTGTATTATTAAGAGTGGCAGCTAACAAGAACTTCAGCAACACACACACTGTATAGTGATTTATCCGCACACCCCAGGTTACTGGAAAGTACATTTTCAACTTTTCCAAAAGTTGGAAAAATTTACAACAGGGGGTAACTGTCAGAGCCACAACTTAAATGTTGTCATTGTTTTCACTAAAACACAATACAGGCTGGAACCTTTCTGCATTAGTCACCCATTTACATCAGCCAACAGACCATTTACTACGTGACCTACAGACACATATCAAGCCATGTGCGTCTGAATCACAGTCTCCTGTTACAAGCCTTTTGCATCACTTGGGTTGTCATGACTTGTTGACATTTTCAATTTGAAAATACCATTGTGCATTCTATTATTGTGCACAATACCATTGTGCATTCTATAAATAACTTTTACTTTTGATGTTTTAAGTAGCCTACAGAATGCATTACTTTAATGCGTTTTTTATAGTGTGCTACTGTCACTTTTTCTTAAGTAAAACATCTTAATAATTCCTCCAACATTTGTTTTTTTCTACCTCATTGAATTGTACATCTAATTACAGAAGTAGTATTTACAACAGCCCCTGAAGGCAGCATTACACACAATGAATAAGCCCTTGTGGTCATTGAACATGCTTTGAAAAGTACTGGTGAGTTGACCAATACCTTTCAAGTTTGCTTGCATCTACTTTTCAACACAATAATCAATCAATGATAGCATAATCTCTACAATAATACATTTTGACTTTTATATGTCTTTAGTAAAATTTTACTTATTTATCATAATAAAGAGGCTAATCATGAGGGGCATTTCAGTTTAGAAAAACGTTGATGGACAATTTAAATATGCCAATAATGATTTACAATGTCATTCACTTTATAGTACGTTGTATAAAAGTGAATGACATTGTAAATCATTATTGGCATATTTAAATTGTCCATCAACGTTTTTCTAAACTGAAATGCCCCTCATGATTAGNTCAACGGTGGTTATATTGACAGTCTCCATGAGAGCTCGTTTACAAAGGAAATATTTTGCTCATTTTTCAGGTTCACATTTGTATTGTGTCTCTACTGCAGGGGTGCCCACACTTTTTCAGCTTGGGAGCTACTTTTAAAATGACCAAGCCCGAATGATCCTTGCCCAATCTGTGTCATGAGCGGGGGGTGCTATATGGCGGATAAAGTGTGGCACTCACTTGCGCTTCAGATTAGGATGTGAGGTACATTAATGCACACAATGTTCATACTCCTTTCTGCACTTATTCTTATTTCACATTTCATAGTTTATATTCTAAAATTCATTCATAGCATTCTATTCCCATGTAAATTACTGCTTTATTTAATTTGTATTGGTATTTAACTGTATTTTATTACGGTGTAAAATATTTTTTGTTTTATATTAGATTTCTTGTTTTTTATATTTTATGTATGCGCCATGACATCAAGTCAAATTCCTAGTATGTGCGAACCTACCTGGCAATAAACCTGTTTCTGATTCTGATTTCTGATTTCTAGGTTATATCATGGCGGCATCTAAATAAAATGTAAAACATGTGCAAACCATCAATCCACAATAAAGCCAAATGTGGGCTTAATGATGTGTTGAATTTATTCTGGTCCCTCTTAAAGCAACACTCACTTACCGGGTACCACACATTTAGAAATATTATTGTGGAGCGAAGGGAGAATTAAGCACTACTCTGAAAAGTAATGCTTTTTGAATGTTTGTACAGAATAAGTAAGTGGATTATTTTTGGAAAAATGAATAAAATGCTTTTATTTTATACTGCGTTTTTTGGTATATCCAGATTTCATGTAAATCCTTTTCTACATCTAAATGTATAGTTTTGATTATTTTATTTTATTTTGTGGTTGTTTTTTCTTACTTATTTTCTTCTTTAACTGTGTATGTATGCACCATGTACACCAAGACAAATTCCTCGTATGTGTTAACCTTTTTGGCAATAAACCTGCTGATTCTGATTCTTCTGCTGTCCCCTAAAATCATGTCTTGAAAAGATCTCTCATGGTCAGCATGGGGATGAGAAACTATTAAAGCAACCAAAACTGTTTTCATGTGTATTGGCAAATGTAAGATAGATTCAAAATAAATCTTGGCCTATCATTTAATTTGAAATGAAGCAGCAGTAACACATGTGTCAAAGGGACCTCAGCTTAGCCCTGAGTGTCTTTGGGTTTCAAGACACGCCCTGTAAACACCGGGGCTGGAGGAGGAGGAGGAGGAGGATCGGGTGAAAGTGGAGCGGAGGGAAAGAGGAGAACCCGTCCCCTGGATGTCTGAAGTATGCGGGGCTCGTCCTCTCAGACCTTACGTCAGCCGGGACTCTTAACTCAGACTGCGGTGCACGGAGATGTCGGCGATGGGACGAGGATGCAGCACACCTGCGGCCGGCGGCGCGTGGATGCTTTAAAACAGGACTAATTCTGGATTCAATGCATTTGCTGATCCTCACCAGTGATGAGTTGGCTCCTGTTGTGGATTCTCACTGCAGCCGGGATTCAACAGGTGGGATGGAGGACTGATTTGTTATTAAGTATTCCCAAAAATATTGAAAACATGAAATCAATCTGCACACTTAGCGCACTTTCAGTATGCAGATCAGCAGTGTGGTTAATGATATCGTGGAACTGTGCATGTGTTGTCCATGAAGTTGTGTCAGTGTTACTGGAAAAAACACAAGCTGCTGCAGTGTGTTAATACTTCACAGTAAGTTTTAGTGACTTTTAAAATATGATTATTCCCTAAAGTATTTGTATAGCTTGTACCGCTGATTTGGCCGGTTTTTGTAACCACGTTGTTATTCAAGGCAACATCAGTTCAGGGAATGACATCAAAAATAAGTTGGCTGTATCTGTAGATGTGGCCCCAAAACAGAAGTTAGTGCAGCCTGTGGAAAGTGTTCTTGTCTTGTGACTAGATGGGATGGACTGACTAACCTGGACTCCATTCTCTGCAAATGTTTCCCTAGAGATGGTTTTGTCATCAATCATCCCTGAGGTTAAACTTGCAGTGTGAGGTGCTGGCAGTTTCCATTCAGCAGATTCACGTCTCATCGTTTGTTATATTTTACTGCCCCCTCGTGGTTATATAGGAAACAGCTTTTTTTGTAATGCCTTCAATAACGTTTTCCTGTTTCAACTTTTGAAAACATGCGTAAAAAAATGGGATGTTATAACAGTGAAAACAATGTAGTTTTTCACATTTGTATTACTTTCATAACATATTTTAAATTATGAAAATGCTGTATTCCCTTGAAGTACCACATGCTTTTGTAGAGAAATGTTGCAAAGCAGTACCACTGTGTGAGTTCGTCTAAATCACCCTGGCCTTTTTAGAAAAACCGTCCCTTTTTTAGTGTTTACCCACATCCTTAGGGATGGGTTTGTTCATATATGTGCACAGGTCAGAGGTCATCTGATCTGACCGGAAGAAACATCTCAAACCAGCAGGTGAAGGAGGGTTATGAGCCCTTGTCACTTCTGACAACAGAGAAAATAAATCACCATTATATTTAGCTGGCCATCTGTAAAACATGACAGCTAGCGCATACCGGAAAACATTTGAAGAGATGACAGTTTTAAAGGGTTGTGTGAAGTATACCTAAATGTGTTAAATTGGGATCAGCAAGTTATTTTAGCCTCTTTCACTACTTGTGGTCTAGCTCAAGTTTTCTTAAATACTGGTTTCTCCCATTTACTGCTCTGTTACTGCGACCATTCTCAAAAGTTATCAGATTATGTTAAAATAAAATCACGCTTAACCTAGTTAAGAAAAATGATATTGGCAGAAGATTACATTAGGCTTTCCCCATGTTTTGATAATGAACTTAGCAAACACCCACCTCTCTATTCTCTCCTGTCTTATTAGAGTGATGGACAGCTTCTGAGATGTGTTTAGTTTTTTTCTGCCCTCCTCTCTGAATAAGCCTGCTAAGTAACTCTTCTGAGGAAGGGCTCGGTGGCACTGCTGTGATCAAAACTCATGTATCTGCATTCGCTTTGAACACTATGCAAAGCAGTTATTAATGACAATAATACCTTTGAAGTGCACAAAACAAGCTCAGGGATATGACATATGGTTCGGCCTGCACTAGATGATCAAGCGTGTTACCTCGCAGTTAATTGCATATAAAGTGTGCATGCACCTATGTGTGTCTTGTTTTACAGGCTTGTCTTTTTAATGGTTCAGTGGCTCTTTACTGGTGCAGTGCTCTGAGTAAATGGAATAAATTATGATTTATGAGAATGCAGACAATATTGGACCTCTATGTAGTGTTTGCCTCCCTGATTAGTCCATTGTGGAAATAATAAACATGGTGTCACCTTCAACTCTAGGGTGTCTTAGTCATAAACACTGCGAATATCGCTTCATGTGAGTTAAATCCAAATTGAGAGCCTCTGCATTATTGCCCAACAACTTTCGTATGAGCTTAAATTATGTTTACTTGTGTCAACCTTTTACAAAACAAATCTCAGTGTCTCTCTCACTCACTAAATTATGATCTGCTTGCTTTTTTCTCAAGCACACCATGTTCTCAAAACAAGCAGAACTACATTTGGCCTGTAAAACATTTAATATGTTGTCTGAATAACACATTTTAAATGGCTGAAGACAGGCGTCCTCTGCTGAGACTCGCTGTCCGATGCTAACTCCATGTGCTCGGCTGTTAACGGGGCTCCTGTGGCCCGTTTCAGTGAGAACATCTGCTTTTAAAAGCTGCAGAGCTGTTAACTGTGTGATCTTGGCTTAACACAGCAGCTTGTAAGAGTTGGGGGGGGGGGGGGCTTTTTTGATTGAGTTTCATTGGCAGGGTTTTGTTACTGCTCAGCACAGTTGCAGATTCTAAATACGATGATGGAACACTTCCAGAGTGCTAAGTACGTACAAGACGAGACTATGCCATTGATTTAATACGATTATATCCACTGAGGGTTTAATTTATTTTAATAGGCTTAATTGATTTATTCTCCTAGTGAAACAGACGAAGGCAGGCTGTCATATGGTTCACCACCTTATGTGTTTGAGAGCCTTTGGAGCAGCTACCTCCCAAGCCAACATTACTCAAAACAGCAATGTATTTGAATAAATCAGGATAAAAAATATTAAACAATATTGCCTAACCACATGTGGTCATATAACTTTATGTAAAAAAAAGTTGTTTTGATGATGCACAAACAGAGAAAGTGTAGCCGCTCAAGCCTATTACTTTGTGTGTCCAAAGCTAAAACTTACTTTGAATGTTCACTAATGAGAGGCAAACTGATTTCATAATGTGAAGGCAATTGGTCATACTCTGAATTAATAACATAATGTTTAAAGTGGACCTATCAAGCTATATTTGAATAATATATTGTAGGGCCATACCTATATAAAACATGTCTGTGAAGTTTTTTTTTCAAAACACCAAACAGATCATGCATTTTAGCCATGCCTCATTTTGCTCTATTTGCTCTTTTCCAGCCCTGTTTTTGAAGGGCTGATTCTGCTTTTGTGGCAGACTACAGCGCCACTTACAGGCCTGGCATATGTACTACAGGTCTCCCTTGAAAAAGAGATCTATGATCTCAATGGGACCAATCTGGTTAAATAAAGGTTTGAAATGAAATGACAGCCTCTCCAGCGCTTTCGAGCGATCTCTCATTCCCCTGATAGGTGGAGAGTTGCCCATATAGGCGACGCACCCCTTTTCTGACGTCAGAAAAATTCAAATAATAATCAGCTCCGTTGCAGCCCCGTTTTTAGAGATTTGGGTATGGAGGAAAAGAGAGAGGGTTGTGTTTTCTGACACTTGGTGAGTTCCCTGACACACCGGGGACACATATTCATTTATAAAAGACGTACAAAAGTGCATTTTGCATGATCGGTCCACTTTAAGTGAAACTGGACGGTAAAATTGCATTTATGTTAAAGAAAGTTGTTCTTTAACCTGTCCCTAAATTATCCATTTTCCTCTTTACAGGCCTACTCCCAGAATTCCACGGCCATGCCGCCTGCCGTCACCTCGGCAGCTGTGGACACGTACAACCGCACGCAGTACTGCAAGTGGCCCTGCGAGTGCCCCAAGGCCCCCCCCACCTGTCCGCTGGGCGTGAGCCTCCTCATGGACGGCTGTGACTGCTGCAAGGCCTGCGCCCGGCAGGTGGGGGAGGTGTGCAACGAGGCGGACACATGCGACTACCACAAGGGACTGTACTGTGACTACAGCTCGGACCAGCCTAGGTACGAAAAAGGAGTGTGTGCATGTAAGTGTCACTCAGCAAAACCGACAAACAACAGACTTTACACAGCAGGTTCATTTTCCGATTTAAGATTCCCTGTGCAAGCCACAGCACGGACCAGATTGTGTTTCTGTATAGCAGGTGTTTGCTGCCATATATACATCTGTTGTCATAGCAACAACCCAGGTGTCACTTGACCAGAATACTGATTCAGTAGCATGCAAGACAATTGTTCATCTCATCTTATTATTATTTTTTATTTCAGTAGTAGTTGCATTTTTACAGCATATATGTATGTGCATATCTCAGTTTGATGCTATAGTAAATCACTTCAAACACAATGACAGTTGTTGCATGTCCAAAAATCTGATATAAATCATACTGAAATCCTTCCAAATTGAGAAAAGACTTTTATATGTTTTGGTCTGGTTGCACAGAGGAATATATCTAACTCATGGACATACATAAAGAAAATGTTTACTTTTAATAATATCCTTGTCAAATGTCAACTGCCAGAGACTTGACTCTATCCTCAGCCAAAAATATGCCTTAATCTCTTTTAGAAACAACGTGTGTTTCATATTTTACTATTTTTTTCTTTACAATAAGTAGCTTGCTAAATGTAGTAGAATAGATAATTCCCAGCGTCAGCCACAACAAGGCAATCGGTTGATATCAGCCTGCAACACAAAGTAATTTATTCTACGTTGTCAAACATTTTTGCCTCTAGAAATGTGTTCATTCCTAATTATGTGTATTTGAAATACAATGACATTAACTTAGTTTGTTTGCATGCCTATAATATGTGACTGCTTGTCTTTATTCCCTGCCAGATATGGTGGGAACAGGCTGTGAGCATGATGGCGTGATCTACCGTAACGGGCAGAACTTCAGGCCCAGCTGTAAATACCAGTGTGTGTGTGTGAACGGGGCCATCGGCTGTGTGGGGCTGTGCACGGAGTCCCAGCCTCCGAGGGTCTGGTGCCAAACCCCACGGCGGGTTAAAGTTCGGGGGGAATGCTGTGAGCGGTGGATTTGTGATGAACCCAAAAGAGGACGCAAGACGGCACTGCGACACGCAATAGAGGGTAGGAAATGTATTCTATTGCTTTATGAAGATGGACTTTAACTTGCAAACTTTTTCCTCATAACTGAATTTCCTTCTCATGTCATGTAGATTAATTGGAATGCTCAGAGAGATCACAAAAACGAGGTAATGCTAGGGAAAACTAGGGGAAAAAAGGATTTGATCTTGAGGATAATGTTATAGAAAAGGTTGGAGGTGGCAAGGGAATGCAAAGTATTTTAATAAACAACGCATATGGCCTCTTATTGATGTCATATAGTGTCTGTTTGGATAATTCTGCTAAAGGATTATTGCTAATTTACAAGGACATATTTGTAGAAGAAACCATTTATACAGTTTTCCAATAGCAGATGGATACAATTGGATTTGGAAAGTAGGAGCAGCTGTGTTTGAATTGGTAGAACAAACATGTGTAGTTATGTGAGTCCAGGAGGATCACAAGGTTTGTGTGTGTGCACGGTGTGTGCAGGGACAAACCAAACCTTTCCTGTGGAAGCCCTCACACTGTTTTTGGGTCATGTCCAGTTTCCAGGGATTTATTGCAGCAATGTGAACAAGATCTCTTTGTGTTGCATAAGGATACAAATCAGATCCAGATTACAAGAGAAACACAAATGTAACTGTTTAGATTCAAACAGAGACTGTAATATCCATGTGCTTCTCTTTGTAAAATAATACAAGCTTAACATTATTCAAATAGAAAACATACATTTAAATGTGTAGCAAATGTTAACTGTAGCAGTTTTTTAAATAATTAATCAATTTTTCTCACTTTTTGTTGCTGATGCAGCTGCCCCAGCTGAGACCAGGAGCTGGCACAAGAACTGCATTACCCAGACTACCTCATGGAGCCCCTGCTCTAAGTCGTGCGACCGCGGCCTGTCCCTGAGGGTCTCTAACGCTAACGAGCAGTGTGAGCTGGTCAAAGAGTCTCGCCTTTGCAACCTGCGGCCCTGTGCGGTCGACATCACCAAACACATCAAGGTATCAATTCTGCGTATTAAGCCGTCAAAATGATGATTCGCAAGAGAAAAACTAGTTGTAAAACATATCTTTCTACTCCCTTCCTCCATCAGCCGGGGAAGAAATGTCTGAACATCTACAGGGAAGAGCTGCCCTCCAACCTCACTATCTCCGGCTGCACCAGCAGGAAGCTGTACAGACCCAAATACTGCGGCGTCTGCACAGACGTGCGTTGCTGCATCCCCTACAAGTCCAAAACCATCGAGGTGGAGTTCGAGTGTCCTAACGGGACGGGATTCACCTGGAAGATGCTGTGGATTCAGGCCTGCTTCTGCAACCTCAGCTGCAAAAACCCCAACGACATCTTCGCCGAGCTGGAGAGTTACTACGGTCAGCCAGAAGTCATGAACTAACAGCGCTCCCTGCCTCTCTCAATTTTTCTGGCTTCTTTTTCTTATGCAGTGTTTTTGTATTCGGATGGATTATGTGCACGGGATTTTCTTAAGGTTTTTCTTTTTTCCTATTGGAAAAATCTGTAAATATGAAATATATATACCTGTCTCTAGATTGGATTCATAAAGCATAAGGGGCTATGGAAGAATATTTGAAGAAGTGCTTCGCAAATGAAAACATTCAGACAGTGGATGTGTGAAATATTGAATGCTTAATTTATTTATGTTGCTTTTTGCATATGCCATAACATATGCTATGTTCTTGAGATGCTTTCACGAGCAGTACACATTGTCTGTCTTAAAACTCACATGTACACTTAGATAATAAGGCGTAACTGTATATATATATTCTTTTATATTTCAAGAAATGTACGATATAATACTTGTTTAAAAGACAGATATGGACTGATATGCCAAAGATAAAGCCAATGCAACAATGAAAAGATCAGGGAAGTTCAGTTACAAGTTTTTTATTGTAATTTTTTTAATAAATACAAACTGTTATGTGATTTGAATGCTTCTCTACAGCATTAGACAGTTGTGCATTGCATCTTTACAAAGCTGTGTTTGTGTTCTACAAAGCAAAATGTAGCTGTAGTGCGAGTAAAATACAGGAGTAGAAGGTGTCAGGTAAGATCTATGGTTATCCTCATGTTAACATGTGGACCTATCACTTCACTCACCCAAAAATCAACAACCACATAGGAGCATCACGTCTAAAAAAAATAACAAATCCATGGCACATCTTTGTTTCATTGTGCTTGATTGCATAGAAATCATCATAAAAAACTAAAATAACCTTGTTGTCTTAAGCCATGATCCATTAATAAAGCATACGATGTAAAACAGTTTGAATTTTCTGTTTGAGTGTTTTGATTCATGACAAAGCATACAGCCTCATTGGAATGTAATAAAAATGATAGTTTGATTCCTAAAAATATTTCACCAATGAATAGATGTTAAAATAACTCAAGGACAATGGATACTGGCATGAAACAATATAATTAGCTGTATATACTAGAAGTCTATCCGTTCTTTTTCAAAATGACAGAAATGTGTGAGGCAAACAGCCACTTGTATTTATCCAAATGCCTTCAATTCTCTCGACTTCTACAAATCTGCTCCTACAAATCTGCTCCTACGTACAAACAACAACTATTCAGACATAGAAAAATAAGAATAAATGGTCAAAACAATTACAATGAGAACAGAAAACAGTCATTTACAGTCAGGTATATTTGAGAAAGATGTGTCAATAGGGTATTAATGGATAAAAACGGGATAGAGGAATGCAGAAAATTAAATGTTTGTTTATATATGCAGGGTTATGAGGGATACATGTACAAGCTGGTGTACTAGCAGCCACAGCTTTCTTCCACATTCTCTGCTTCGGTGTCACAAAATGCTGCGCTGCCCCCAACTTTAAACTCATCTGACCCAGGAGATCAGAAGTATTTCTGTTTACAATATAATTGAGTCCCTCAGAGTATGAGAACAGACTTACTTAGACTTATTTTGACCCTGAGCTCTCACTTAAAAGACATTCTATTTTAAAATTGGGGCATCTCACCAGAACTGAACAATCGGCAGGTGAGTGTCCATTGTGCTTTTTTACGAAAACACATGCTATCTTACTGCCCTCTCCACGGGTGTGTAAGTGCGTAGGAATGTGTGTGTGTCAGTTACAGGCAGCGCAGCACAAACCGAAGGGACCTTGAGAGGTCTCGGTGCCTGAAGAGCGACGGTTCACTTAGCAGGACACTTCGGTGGACTTGGGCACAGCTTGGTCCACGTTGCTGTTGGCCAGGTGGCTGTGGCCGCGGTTTCCCTCGTTGGTGTGTGAGCGGGAGCGATTCCCCTCATGGGTGTGGGAGCGGGAGCGGTTTCCCTCGAAGGAGGTGACGCTTGAGCCGGAGGCGGTGCGGGAGCGGACCAGGCGGGTCATGCTGGCAGCGGGCACTGAGGAAAGAGGAGGCAGGAGATTAACAAACTGCACACTCAAGAACATTTTTGAGGGAGTTCTACTTTAGTTTTATATTCATTTCATAGTTTGAAAGGAAAATGTGGTTCCTTTAACTCCACTACATACATTTGCTATAGTTACTTGTTACTGTGCTTGTTAAGATTTTAAAGGCCTATAATTGGCGTACAAAATACAATATATAGTTAAACAGTAAATGAACTACCAAACAGCATATAAAAAAAGCTAGAAATAGTTTAATTTCGACTAATTCCAAATTTGAGATGCTCTTTAAATGTGTATCTGAAATTAAATGAATATCAAATCAGGGGATAGTGGTCATTTATACGTCCATATTCTAAGTGAATTATAGTGATATAGCCACATGTTTTTCTTTAACTCTTTAGTTTTAAATGCACAATTCTTACTTATACTTCTTTATCTATCCAAGACTAAGTTGAAGTAACACCCCAGTGTATATGGGTCATTGTGAGTGAGTGATGTCTTGATTACTTACTGTATCCCATGCCCTGAATGAAGTACTTGAAAGCCTCTGTCAGTTTGGCAGGCTGCAGAGAGAAAAAGCACAAGTAGGGAGATAATTAGTCCTCTTGTCATTAATTACCACACTTGTTTTCATAACATTGACACCCTCAATCTCTCATACAGCAGCTTACTGCTCAGGCTCGGAGATATGACAGCTGCGGTGAGCAGGTGCTACACAGGATTACAACCTGTGCTTCATATCTGCCACTTGCTAATGCTCTTAAGTGCATCCTCCTTATGTCATCCACCCGTCACTCCATTATCCGACCCTGTGCTCAGCAACATTAACATGTTTCACAAAGCTTTTCTCTGTTACACAAAAACACACCTGGTCAATCTGGGGCATGCCTCCGCAGTCAGACATCTGAAGGGAAAACACAAAAGAAGTCATTAGCATTTAGCATGTTGGCGCTCGTACATTCCCACAGCAGTGGACACACACCATTAACCCTCATTACACTCAACAGTCCCCTGTTCAACACACCTTTTCCCTGCTACCTATAGACCCTGAACAGTTAACCCCAATAAATAGTGCCCATTTTAGCTCCAACAGCCATTTGGTTTCGATTCTAGATACACAAGTAGGTCAGCTGCAGCAGATTGCGTCGTCGGAGGCGATATGCAAATGCACGTCCCCTCTTCAGCTTTCCTACCCCTGGTTAATATGTCACCAGATAAATGCTGAGCCCATGGAATCTTATCAGCCGATGCATTTCCATCAAGGTTATTAAGACCTGAATGAAGCTGAGGGAGGGGAGGTGGAGGGAGATTAACGGGCCTGTTTACCTTCAGCAGGGTGGTCTTTGTTGGGTCCAGCTTGGTATTGCACTCAACCTAAAAAGGCACAAATAAAAGAGGGTAAGTTCACTTATGCATCTTATGTTATTATGGATCACATGTGTACGTTTAATGAATACATTGCTATGCAAAAACAATGTGAAATAAAACATTAATTACCAATCTCAAACCTTTAACAGATTAAAACTACTCTGTGTCACTTCGTTTCTCTTCCCATCTTTGCTCTTGCCTCAGCCATGGTAAACTAGCTTCCTTAACAATGCAATCTTGCATATCTCTTTGGTTTTCACATGTGACTGCAGTTAATGGAAAACATGTTTTGTTGTTTTCCCGGTGGTGACTCGTCTAATCATTAGCACTGGAGCCTTGTTTTTAATTTAACAAAAGATTGCTCAACTCACCACAGCTTCCACGGCAGGAGAGCTGTCACCAACAACCAGCAGTGAGTGGCACCTGGATAAGGAAGAAACACGCAATTACAAATAAGCATTGGGGAAATATTACGTTTTAAATGTAAGCAGCAGGTGATATTTCGGATTGATGCTTGATAACTTACTTGAGGGTTATGACTTTGATTCCAGGTATCGGCCTCTCAATTTCCAGATCCCTCCGGCTGCAGAGACAGACATAGGTTATAGAACATGTTGAATCTAAGGATGAACTTTAGTAGGTTAAGCTGACTTTTTGTGTTTTTCTATACCTTTCGTAGGACTTGACAAAGAGATGCAGGTTGAACTGGTTCATGTCGTGCATGATGTGGTGGCGGTATGTTCCGATCAAGTCGTGGTTGTTGTGGATCTCCTCCTGAGGTAAAAACAAACACACAAAATCTGTTAGACTCACTGAGGACTGCAAACCTAGAAAAAGCTAGTTAGTAAAAAAATATACCTCGCAACAGAAAGATAACTTAAATCTGTACCTTTCCAAAGAGGTGTCCGATGATCGCGTCAGGTGTGGCATGGGTCCATCCACTGATCTGAGTTTAGACATAAAAACTATTTAGCTGACGCACTGTGTAAGGGTTTCAAGTTAGCCTCTGGAGTTGATTCAGATAGTTATTTAAACTGTTCTTCATGTCTGTTACCTTGTGTGCGGCCCAGTCCATCCATCCCTCAGCACTTGGGTTGATGTTGATGAGCATCAGCCCCTCTACCATGTTTGGGTAGTCCAGCTATAATACAAAGTAACAGTAATGATTAATAACCACAATGCTGCATTAAGCTTAATACATAGGTAAAGTAAAACTGGGGGCTCTGGGATCAGGCTGCCAATGTTTTGTGGTATTTAAAAAAATCTTAATATGTGTTACCCTGGTGTCTTCTTATTAAGTGTTAATGATGATGCACTTTGAATTGCCTATATAAATAAACGTACTTTACCTTACCTCTTCAGGGCATGGTTTGGATTACTATGTGTTATTGGAGTGTTTTATGTTAGATTTATATATTATTTTTATAAATAATGTATTTAAGTACATTTGTTTAGTCTGTTAAATGACAAAAAAGAGTAAAAAGAAAAGAAAAAGGGCCAAGGTGGGGTCTTTAAAAAAGTTTGTCAGGCCAAAATCCAATGATATTCAGTTTGATGCAGACTGAAAACAGCATTTTCTTCCAATTTATTTTAGGATAACATGTTTACATGGTTGCATCAGATCTTACTCCATGATTTTAAAGTGAATGTCTGTTCAATACAAATGTTTAAATAAGTCAATGCTTTAAAAAAGTAAAAGTGATGCACATTGGATTTAGGTAGAGGAGGCTGCAGCAAGGAGTTAAAAGTTGTATCTTAGTCAGCTTTGTGTCAACAGAGTGAGACTTCCTACTGAGCACTGTGTCGGTGTTGAACTGATCTGGAACATTCTTGAGGCTTTTATGGTTCAACAGGCTCGAGCAATAGGCAGTGTTATGGTGCCAAAATCAGCAAGTAGTAGAAAAACATTAACCGGCTCTGTTAATCCTGAAATGATTAATTTAATAATGATTAAACCTGACTGAGAGGGAAAGGGGGGGACTTACAGCAAATCTGGTCAGAATGTAGGCCCCCGCTCCAACGCCCATTCCAACAACACTCTTCAGCCTGCCGTCAAACATAACAGGGAACTGTTAGGACAACAGGTTAGAAAAACTCTTAAATATGAGGGTTAAGAATCAGTGTGACAACTGGAGCTTAACTTACCCAAAGTGCTTCAACACCAGTGGGAGGGTCTCAGCGACCTGGTCCATGGATGGGTACTCATATCTGGAAAACAACATTTAAAAATTAATAGTTAAGAAATTATTAACAGCCTTTATCTAATCACTGGTGTTTATTGCTCTGTTTTGTTTGAAGTCCCATCAGCAAATCAGAGATTAGGCTGAACGAGACAAACACCTGTCACTAAAACACACTCCACAAACTAGGTCGTCTTAAGCACGTCCGCAGTGATCTACCTAGCTGGAGAGTCAGAGGTCACACTACTTGACATACATAAAGTGTTTGTTTGTTTTTGTGGCTCACCCAGTGGAAAAGGTGTTAGCTCCCTCA